AATCCCCATCGATGCAGCCTCTTTGCTGCTATCGTGGGTAGTCCATGTTTTGAGCCGAATGTTCTCACCAATGGCTGATGATTTGTTAACAATGTGAACCTCCTACCATACAGGAATTGATCAAACTTCTACGCCACAAACTATACCCAACGCCTCTTCTTCTGTTTATGCACAATTTCTCTCTTCTTTAGTTAAAGACAGACCTGCGCTCAAGTGAGCCATGGTCATCCTTCCTTGTGCAAGTAGTCCAGCCCCTCAACTAAGAGGCTATCCCGTTTTCGCGACTCCATAGCAAGTAGCGAGCGAGGAGGGTGCTACAGCCGCCGAAAGTTCTAGTTCTAACACCCGCTCAGTTGGACCGCCCACTTGCTAGATGTTCTCTCCACACCTGACGCAGGAGAGCTCAGTTGCTCTTCGTTGGGGCTGCGGGGATTAATTGGCACTGCATGTCCACTTTTGCTGCCCATCCTGAATTCGTACGCAGGATTTTTGGAAGTTTTTTTTGTTGAGAGTTTTCCGTCCAAATTTTTGTTGTTTTTCGCACTCTTTGCATTTGATGATACTTATTACTGTAGGATGCGAGAAAGCGGTGTGACTGTTAGTAAGCGATTTTGTTTATGGTGTTCTTGAGGTGTTCTTCTTGCTTTTTTCCTCCTTCGAGGAATTACCTATCAGCTGCTGTTTCATAATTGAACACCAACTATCCATGACGATTGATCGCGGAGCTGTCTCCAAAGAACGAGAGGCATAAGCAATTACTTACTCTTTGTCATCTTTATACATGTGCTAAATAACTGCAGCTAACCCGTAATCTGAAGCGTCCGCAGCTAATACCAGTGGCACGTCGGGGTTATAATGTGCGAATACATCTATTTCAGTTCAACCTTCTGCGTTATTTTCTCGACCGCCTTCTGGATTTCTTCAGTCCAGCGCCACTCCAATCCTTCCTTAGGGAGTTTAGCTGGGAGGCTAACGTTGAGAAATTAGGTATAAATTTAGCATAGTATTAGACCATACCAAGAAATGATTCTAATTCCTTGATGTTCTTTGGTGCAGTCATCCTCAGCCTGGCCTCTATTTTCTGCGGGGATGGTCTTATCTTGGGTATCCACAGGGGCCCAAAAATTCCATCTGTGCCTTTAAAAACTCGGATTTGCTTCGCTTCAAGCGAAATCCCGCTGCTTTCAATCTTTGTAAGATCTTTTCTAGTCTTTCGACGTGGGTTTTGTCATCTGGTCCGATGACCGTTATATTATCTCAATAAATACCTACCCTCTCTATTCCAGCCAGCGTTGTTTTCGTTATGGAAAATAGCTGGTGCGGATGCTTCCAAGAGCTGTCCGATTATACTCAAATAATCCTTTTTGTGTATTCACTGTAGTATATTTTCTCGACTCCTTATCCAACTCGACCTGCATATATGCTTCTGACAGGTCCGATTTTGAAAACTTTTGTCCATCGTTTAACATGTGGAACTGATCTGGTTTGGGCAACGGATACTGGTTAATATCTAATTGCGGATGATTTATCGTTATCTCATAGTTTCCGCATAGCATAACCTTGCCTCCAGGTTGACGACCACTAATGGAGTAGTCCACTCCGAATGGTCAACCTGCGTTAAGATACCTTTGTTTACTAGCTCTTAGAGTTACTCTTCCACTTCAAGTACTTCAAGCCGCGATGCTAGAAGAGCAGGTCGTGCTCAGCAACTTTGACATGGATTTTCTTAAGTGTAGCTTCTGTGGTTGTTTATATCCCAAGACCGGTTTCAAATACACTCTTGTTGTTTTCTATGATTTTAGCAAGCTTGTGCTCCGCCTTGAATAGAGGCTTGTGCTGCCTTTCATGTATACGCTGATAATGGGGACCGCACTCGATCCTCAGGGCTCGGACCCTACCGCTGAAGGTGCGGGTTGCCCTTATAGTACGTGCGGGTCCATCTCAACTTTCCTACCATTAAACTGGACCCATACCGTGCTCTTACCGCAGAACTGAATTGGGCTGTTACTGTAAGCTGTTGCCTCGATTGTAGCTTCTGTACGGGTTTACCTATTCTTCTCCACGATGCCACATCTAAGATTGATACCGAGGCTGCTGTATCCGATTCGCACGCGACGTCTGTGCCGTGAATGTTTATCTTGATCTTAAAGGTAGTGGCTGGTTCTACTTTCAACTTCCGGCACAATGCCTCCTCCCCTGATCGACACATCTTTGTGGATCGCTCGATCTGCGAATCTAAGGCCCTTTCGGATCTTATGGCCTGGTGCTTTGACTTGACCAGCTCCTCTCCGACCTTAACGCTCCCTATGAGTTAATCTATCTATCTTGTTTTCGCTACTGTCACACTCGTTAAGGTCGGAGGTGCTTGGCTCCGCTCACCGGTGACCTAGGCTTTTCACGCTAGTCGCTTTCGATCCGGTTCTGGCCATGTGTCCAGGTCGAGACATATGGGATGTGCAAAACGCTGTTTGCATTCTGAAACACTGAAAGACATGCCATTGACCTCCACAACATTATACTGCGCTGTTGCGACCGAGCGATTGTTATCACTCTACCTTTCTGCGGCTGTTGCTGTAGCTTCCATTTTGATTTGCTCGAGCTGGCGAAAACGGTAGGTTTTGTTTCCGCTTTGCTAGTGACTTACCTCTTTTAACGTGTACTATATCGCTACCTACTTCTTAAAGACCTTTTCGGTGGATAGCGTTCTGCCCTTCCCTCTCGAACGCTTCGGTTGCTTCCAAGGCCGTGAGATTCTCTATTTTAGACGTTAAATTCCCTCGCTCTAACAATCTTTTCCAACTTTTTCCTAGTTTCCACGGAACTACCCCCCCCCCCTTATGAATGCCATTGTAACCATCGCATCGCGATTATCCTTTATTTTCTCGAACTCTAATGCTGCTGCGGCTTACTGCAGCTTGGCGTAGTAAACGCGCAGAGCTTGGGGCGCTGTGATCGTGAGATTAGTAACGTTCCGCCAGTATCAGCTTCTTCGGCTGGAAATGACTGGCCATAGTGTCGCTCATCTCCTTTAAAGTCACTTTTCCGGCTGTCCCCCTTGTAGTAACGACTCCATTATTTCGTATTAACTATCACCAATTTCCTGCAAGATTAACCTTAGTTCCGTCTCATCCTTTACGTCT